CTCCTTCGTCCGATTAGGTGAGGCTGGTTTATTAGGATTTAGAGAATGACGCAGGCCAACACCACACTCGGAGCTGAGAGGCCAACCAGCCAGATGCTCCTGTCCACAGATGAGATAAGGCCTGTGTCCGCATGTAACATGGGACCAGGAGTGTGAATGCCACTGTCACCCCCACCCACCCCTGCCTGCTACCAAACTGCTGCATTCACAGGCTGGTAAAAACAGAACTACCCTGCTATCCTCTTTTCTCTCTTTTTGGGGGAGGGAGAGTTAGAAAGCACCAGACATAATGTCCTGATGACTGTATGTGCATGTAACACAGAGAGAAAGGGAGGAAAGAAAGGAGGGAAGGAGATACTGGAGAAAAAAGGAAAAAATAAATACATATGCAAAATGACTCCTTTACTTCTAGGTAGGCATTCCCCCCACAATAAATAAAGGCAACCATGATATGACATGGATTGGGAGTAAGGGACCCATACTGAAGGCAAGGACATGGACAATAAAGCAAGTGCTGAGGTCCAGGGGAGAGAAGATAGAGACCGGAACCCTGGCAGTGGTCCTGAAGGTAAGGAGAAACAGGCCGACTTGAGAGATGTAAAAGCATTGGCAGGGCACAGGAACTAAATCCCTGTGATGCGCTGAGGAAGGAGACATCAAGGACTGCTCCCAAGGTTTTGTCTTGGGCAAATGGATGGGTGGAACCACTCAGTGACTTAGAAACAGGAGTAACAGGGGAAAAGTGAGTTCCATCTGAGTGCTCAGCGACTAAGCCACAGGGATCGCACGGCTTCTGCATGCAAGCAGCACCTTGGCTTCAAATGCATCTCCCCAAAGAATCCTTGGACACATGTTCAGAGATTTTTAGGACTCATGCCCTCTTGCATCTGCTTACAGACGCATTAATCTATGCAGCCTACTTTGGATTGGGGTGGTTGGCATTATGGATTTGTTAATTGCTGATACAATGTACTTTCTCCGCAGGCCATATGTGAAGAGCAGCACTGGCATTCAAGAAATGTTAAATAATAATGTAAATGAGAAAAATTTCCAATCCCAATAATAAAGGGATCCAAGGAACATTGACGCAACTTGCAATCATCAGAGCTGTTTGATTGCCTTGTCACTGTGGGACAGTGACCAAAGTGATGTTAATCTAAATGTCATCTAGAAAGAAGACTAAAAATATTATGGTGAAAATTAAGTACTGCAACCTTAGGAGCTGATTTAAAAATTAGAAGATATAGTAATTTACATCTGTGGGTTTGATGATCGCCAAGAGCAACCAGCTGAACGTACTCACATTTTCCTTTTCTTTCCCCTCTCTCTTTGCAAAAATGGGCTCACTTTTAAAGAGCTAGTTCATACTAGTGTTCCCTCAATAATGGTTCTTAAATGCTGCTACACATAAGGGTTTAAAACCAAGATGCTTCGGTCATATCCTAGACTAAATCAGAACCACTGCTGGTGGGGCTAAGGCATCAAAATTTTTTTAGGCTCTTGAAGTGATTCCAATGTGCAGCTAAGTTTGACCACCAAGGTCTTGAATAAGTAGGATCTGAAGACCAAATGCCTTAGAAATACCTGGGGAGGAAATGATTAAAAAGGGTAGATGCCTGGCACAAGCGAAGACTTGCTGAACTGAATTACTTAAAGATGGGACCTCATTCTCTCCATTTTTACAAACTTTCCATGTGATGTCTGTGACAACCCCTGCACAAGCTGAACATCAGTGTCAAGCCTTTAGACACAGAATATGCCTGTAAAAAAGGAACCAAAATCCAAATAAAAAGGAGAGATTCCATCCCAACACCTGGAAGTTTGACGCTTTGGGTTCTGTTTGCAGGGGGCTGCCCCGTGCACTGCAGGATCTTTAGAAACATCGCAGGCCTCCACCCACCAGAGGACAACAGCAGCACAAAGCGAGAATCAAAACGGCCCCGGACATCGCCAAGTGTCCCTTGGGGAAGGGACCACCCCAAGTCAAGAATCTCAAAGATTCCAGACATGTCGATGGTTCCACTATCTTCCACTGCTTGGCATCATAAACAGAGAAACTGACCAGGTATGTCTACTCTGGATTAGATGTTCTGGATTCAAGTAGGGTAGTGTTAGGCTTCCCAAGTGACACAGTGGTAAAGAATCTGCCTGCCAATGCAGGCGATGCGGGTTTGATCCCTGGGTCGGGAAGATCCCCTGGAGAAGGAAATGGCAACCCAGTCTAGTAGTCTTTCCTGGGAAATCCCATAGTCAGAGTCCTTCGGGTTTCAGTCCCTGGGGCTGCGAAAGTCAGAGCCGTAACTTGGCGACTGACAACAGTAACGGCCATAGTGTCTCACAACGACGCAGCACAGGCTTCCAGAGAAGACGGGACAAACTCAGTCACCAGCATCGGAGTGATCACTAATGATGTCTAGCTGCAGCAGGGCTGCGCTCTGCCCCATGTTTGGGGCTGCTGAGTTATTAATAGGTAAAAAAAAATCAATAACTGGACAAAAAGCTATTTTTTACCTAAAGTTGGTTGTGAGATGACAATAGGAATGGAATCTATTGTTGAGTTAAATTCAGTTAAAGGGCAGTTTGTTTCCATGGGTCATGAGTTCCTTCTGACTGTGAGTCAAAGAAGAGCTAACCTGTCCACATGCAAACAGTGTTCATCCTGGTGAGAGAGGCAGGAAAATATTTTCCAGTGTTAATTGGTGCTCAAAGGAACCTCTCCTCTAGGTGGCCCTAAGCTCCAGATACACTCATTTTCTACAAGGTCAAAATCACCAGGTGGGCTGGACTGACTGTGGACATCTTCAGGACAAAAAGGGAAAATTTTAATTAATTTTTTAAATTAATTTCTTTAATTAATTCAGACAGCTGCTACAGTAGGTCACCTGGAAATGTTGAAACTCATATTCAATGGGCTGAATTTGCATCTCACACCACACAGAGTGCTAATGCTGGGCAGGTAATAAGGCAGAGAAGTTACGAACCCAAGCTCCAAAGAGAGAACAACCATGTTTGCTATGTGAGCCATGCTCACTGAAGACAGTGACTGAATTTATCTGAGCCTCAAACCCTTCATCTGTTAGGTGACAGTAATAATAATACAGATCTCACAGTGAAGCATTAAGGATAAAATGAGATAATATATGTAAATAGCACTTCACACAGTACTTTGCATATAGAAAACACATTAAATGGTGATAAGTATCCTTATTTTAATTACACTTTTTTCTATGAAATCTAACAATGGTCTATTTAACTTAATATAGCCCATGGAAGATAATTTTAGAGGTTTATGGAGTATAACAGATGCTATAATTCTATGTGCTTATTTTGCAGATGAGAAAACTGAGGCACTGAAATGAGATATGATCATCTTAGATTTATTGAGAACAGGCTCTAACACTCAGATCTTTAGAATCTACATACAGTGCTGATGTGGTACAAAGAAGAACTTTAGACTCAGAATATTTGGGTTTGCCACCTCAATTTTCAGACATTCAGTTTCATCATCTGCAAAATGGGTATAAAAGCACCTGACCTGAAATGTTACAGCAAGTGACATGTACTGAGACAGGAATATGTTAAAAGCATTTTGTAGACTGCAGAATACCACACTTAAGTACAAATATTTAAGATTATGATTTTTTCTTTCTTAAAAAAATAGCAAATATAGACCCTTATGTGTATAAGCCTCAAAGTACCACTCACAATCTTTCCTGGTAGTTTTTCATGGCACAGGAAACAGGTCAGGCTCCAGGAACTGCAGCCATTTGCTCTCTGCTCCGCTTCAGTGCTGATCATGCCAAAACCAGCACCTCGGACAGCAGCCAAAGAAGCCTCCTTTTCATGCACCCTATAATACTCTGCATTTTCTTACCGACTGCAAGCTACTTCTGCCCTGCACTCTGACCCACACAGGGAAACACACAAACTCCACTCCTCTCTGTGTATACTGCAAGTTCAGAAGATGGGTGTTCCCATGAAATCGGGGCTTTCTTTGACCTTCACTATTAGACTGGCATACAATGATCCACTGCCTGCTTCATTTCCTAGGAAGTGAACCTGGCCTTTTCATTTGGTCTGCCTACAGCGAACTGTATGAATGTGAGGACTTACAAAGTTTCAACTGAGCAAATCCACAGTGAAGCACAGAGCAGAGCTCCCTGCGAACTCTGTGTCCTTGGGCAATCCCAGGGTCAGAGCATCCATTCCAAACCTCACCACGAACTTTAAACTGTCAGTGCTAATTTGGGACGAGATAGGGAGGGTGAAGAAGGACATAGGGATAATGCTGGATATAACTGTACACCTACTTAATTTCCTTTAAAAGGGAATAAAAGCCACCAATTCGCCATTTTACCAATTCACAAAGAGAACATCTAAAAGACACATGAAACAAGAGAGGATAAACATAATTTTAGAACTTAAAAGTATTTTCAAGGTGACTTCATCATATAAACGATTCTATGAGGAGTCATTAATTTGGTGACAGACATTACTTCGTGCATTATAAACAATTATTGGAAAATGGATTACTTTCATGTGATAAATGTAGAACTGAGAGGGTCTGCTGAAAATGATGGACCTACTATAAAGGTATAAACTCATTTTATGCCAACCCATTTTATTTGCTCCTTAACCATAATTTCAAAATTATAAATCATGGGTTGCTTATTATGAGTGACTTGTTAAGCTACCAGGCCCCTAACTAGATGCCACTAAAAAAAGCAATCTGACTCATGCTTCTGTTTACATATTGCTCGATTAGTTTTTTTCAATATGAACATGCTTTAAGAGTCACTAAATACCCGATTCAAATTCAGTCCTAATACATGATATTTTTGCCCATTGCTAGCGTGTTTTTTTAAAGCGCACCTTCAAACAGAGACTTCAGGAATACACAAAGCTTGCTGTTTGTTAAGGCTGAGATTCAGCATAGATGGGGGAGAGGGAAAGGTCACAGACATCCCAAAACACAAGCCAATACACACAAAACATCTTACCTTTTAGGCTCTGGATTTGCCTGGGTTTTGGGATTTTTTCTTTTTTTGGATTCCTTTTTGGTATCTTTTTTAGCCTCTGGTTCAGATGGGGAGGGAGTTTTGCTCCCTTCAGGGTCTGTGTCTGGTGGCAGCCCACCAAGGTACGCATGCATTTGTTGACTTTGGAGAGGGGGTGGTCGCATGGAGCATGCACAGAGTGTGGCCAGCCATGGGAGAATCAAGAGCACACATACATGCACAAACAAAAGAAAGAAAAAGAAGGATGCATCAAACAGCAAGAGCAAATGCATTCAAACTAAAATAATAAGCAAAAAAAAAAAAAAGATGCAAACTTGCATAAGGAAAATCAGAACTGAAAAGAAAATAAGAAATCCAAAACTGTTTCCATGACAAGATGTATAAACCTAACTGTGAATCAAGTGGCAGTCTTACAATATGAAATCCAGACAATGTGTATCATAATTCATGATGATGTTTACCAGGGAGTTTACAAAAACACTTCATTATTTTATAACACTTCCTTATTCAGTAACATATGTAGAATACAGTGTGACAACCCAGAGAATATAATGCAACTTCTCTCTCTCTCTCTTTAAAGAATTCAGTCCAAGAGGCTGTAACAGATAGTCATCAAAGTGTACATATTTATAAAAAGCAGAATTATGCAGAGATAGTCCCCAGGTATCAGAGTTTTCATGAATATCTTTTATGCAAATGAAAGGTCATGTGCTGGGCTAGCAAACCTGGTAACAATGGGAGGTGACGAAAATCTTGTTGCCTGTTAAATATTCAAACCTACAGTGCTATTGTTACCCAGCTCTAAATGTTGAAGTTGCATCTCATAAAATCTACCAGCACTAGAAAGAGGAAAGGCACAAAACCAACCCCACAGATATTCCAGAGTTGTATAGCTTGCAAAGATGACTGACACAGTTCTGATTTAAAAGAAAAAGTTGTCAATTCTGGATTCTCCCATGTAAGACTTTCCCCAGAGCAGCAAGCTTTTCACTGCAGGCTGGGTTTCTGAAGCCACCTAGTTTTCCCTGGGTGTGCCTTCCCTGGCTATTGGTAGGGGCTCGTGGGGTAATGGAGGCTTCTCTTTATAGTAATGTGAGGCTACACACACTGGGATAGTAAACTGGCTGTGGCAGTGCAGAAATTTACTCCAGGTCTTCAGAGCCAAATGGTACCATTCTTAAGTTATTTACTGCTTTTTGCATTATTCAGAACATGGATCTTTTCCTCCAGGAGCTGGGCAATGTCTAAAGAAAGAAAGTACTTAGTATGAAGTTAGGAGAACTGATGTTCTGGTCTTGTCTGTAAAACCTATAAACCGAAGGGGATGACTCCACCATGATCTCTGAAGTTCCTCCCAGCTCTCTGGTTAAACTCAAAGTGCCATGATTATCTACGTCTCCTAGCATCACCTTGCTTGCTTCAGCCCTTGAGTTTCCTCTGCTGAGCATTTGTACATGCTCCTCCTTTCTCCCAGGACCACTCAACTCCAACTTCAGTACTCGGGCCAAGCATCACTTCCTCAGGGAGACTCTCCCAGCGTCCTGTCACCCCATCTGAATCATGGTCCTTCATTAAATGCTACCATGGGATTTTATCCCTGTTTCTCAAAGAATCAATTTCTCTGTAACTCTGCCTTTGCTTAATGTCTAGTTTTTGCTCACCATGTACGCAGAAGGTGTACCAGAGATCCTGACCTTCAGTAAGGAGCCATTTTTTTAATGAAATAAATAACAACAACAAAGACAGATATTTATTGAGCCCTTGCCATGTTCCAGGCATTGTGCTTAACCTTTTATATCCACTTACATCCTCTCAACAATCCCATGGAGATTCTATCTTCCCTGTTTTACAGATGAGAAGACAGAGGCAGAGAGGGTTTAACTGCTACCCAGGTAATGCTAGCAAATGGAGCAGCTATTATCTGAGTCTAGATTGTTTTAACTTCAGAGACCACTCTAGAAGTCCTGTTTGCTGTTTCTGTTGAGACTCAAGAAAGGAGAAGCAACTCAGACCTGTGTGTATGTTCTCTGTGGCTGGGTGGCTGGTGTGTGTGTGCCCACACGTCTGTACTACTGAGCGAACAGGAATGGGGAGACTTAGAGACGACAGCAAGAGCAGGCCCAGCTGTAAACCACTGCCAGCACCTTAAACATCTTTTTAAAAGGAACAGCCCCCGGACACGTGCCTACCTGTTCCCATGGACGTGGGACGCACAGAAGGCGAAGCTATAGTGGAGGAGGGTTGGGTCGATCATGGCGCCGTTTTCTGCCCGTTCGAGCAAGTCTCTGAGGTAGCAGAGATGGCGGTGGCAGCCTCGGACTCCGTTCCGGGCACAGTACTCGTCTAGTACAAACACCTGGCCGGGACTGAACCAGCCCTGATCGGGGAATAAAGGAGAGACCGTCTTTCAAATACAGGTTGGGTTTATTTGGGGGAGAGCTCTACAGTTGGGGGTGACTGGAGAAGGGGGTTAAAAACAGCCAGAGCCAACACTTCCTGATTGCTCATTGAGCACCGGTCACTCTGTCAGACACCGTGAGTGCTAGTGGGTTAGTCCTCACCAGAGCCCTGTGAGGGAGATGCTGCTCTCCCTGCTGGATGGATGGGAAATCTGAGCTCAGGAGTACATGGAATTTCCCTAGTGTCCCACAGCTAGGAAGTGATGGAGTATGGATTAGCAGAGGGCAAGATTCCAGAAACAAGAGTCTCACCCACTGCTTTAACACTGAACCATAAACCCTAAGAGCACTGGAGTGGGGCCAGGGCCAAGTCTTGGTTGCTGATAAGAGAAAATATTAACATTAATGCCTTAAATTGGTACAGTGCTTTACCCTTGACAAGAGCTTTTAGTTGAGCCCATGACAACCTCAAGAAGTATACAGGGCAGGTTTATCTTTATTTCACAGATAAGGAAATGAAAATAAGAGCTCACAAATAATACAAAACAGCCAGGACTCAAACCCAGCTCTGTCGTTCTCCATATCTTCTGTATTTTTAATACTCTGGAGCATTAACAAATACTAGGATTGCTCTACATTCATGCCAGGACTTCTAAATCCTTTCACTTTGGAAGAAAAAAAAATTTTTTTTTTTAAGATTTTAAAATGAAGATAATAACAGAACTTTCCAAAAAGAACATGACTTTAAGTTCTCAAGTTGTGAATCATATAGGATTCAACTAAACTGAGAGGAGCTTCCTGTGCCCAGGCTGAGTGTTTTATAGTCTCCCTGGCAGTTATTTGTTTTCTTATTATATATTTGCGTGCTGCAGGACCACACAAAACTCTGCTCTAAAAAAGAATTGGGCTGGAATCTCTGATGCAGAGCACAGTAGGAGGTGCCATGGTGTAGAAACTGCTGCCTCCACCAAGCACTTAAGAAAAAAGATGCTCAGTAAGGCCCAGCGACTTGCCGCTCAAAGTCACTCTTGGGACAAGCCTGTAATGAAATCACTTCTTCCAGTCTGATTACCTTTCTGAAGCCAGAAATAAAAATTGAGGTGGTACTTTGTAAGCTGGGAATTTAGGATGATCTTAAATATAAACCTAATTTTACTGTGAGGGTCTTCTCTGAGTCATCTTTTGAATATACCTCTCCATCCTGGGAGAGAAAAGGCAAAAGGAGAAAGTGACTGGGTGGCAGGTAGAGGCCACAGAAGTGCAGCGAGGGAGGCCCCCCCAACACTCGGATCTTGTGCTAGGGATCCGGGGAATCTTCGATTGACAACATGCAGCTCAGCAATGCATCCGACGAGAGACGGCATCTTTCCTATTTCGAATGATAAGTTACTGCAGAGGGCGGGAGAGTAGTCGAGGCAGTGGGCTGCCCCTATAGGCAACTTCTTTGCCACTCCATCTGCTACCCCAAATGCTAAATCTTAGAAACAACACTGCTGTGAAAGATTAAAATATATTTTCTACGACTCAGATGACACCAAGTCTTTTGTAGATGCCAAAATAGCTGCTTTGAAAAGAGTTGAAGAAATATCAATTAGGAGCTCAGTCGAAGACACAGAAAAATTTATGTATCCCTGCTGGTCGGTCTCCAAAACTGACTGGAAAAAAAGACTGTAATAATGAGAAAATGGAATGTATGGAGGCAGGAGATGAGGTCCTCTTAATGGTTCTTATTTTCTGAAATTGGGGGATGATGATTAATACATACAGGTATACAAATAGGGAAGGAAACTATTTTACACTATTCACAATTAATTTGGGGTTTTTAGGCCTGAATATGACTAGCAGGAAGCAAGCTTCAAAATTTCATTTCTGGTTTCATTTTTTAGAGGGCATTCACTCCTCAGTGATGAATTTCTTAGTGAAAAAGAAAACTGTTTGAAGAAAGTACGATTTGAAAAAAGTCTTGAAAATAATATGTCTCAAAAGCATTCCTCAAGAGACTAGGAATTATATATAATAGGAAACAATTTAAGTTCAGAGGCAAATTCTTACAAGTTTCATGAACACAATTTATAATTATGTGAATAATTACATAATCACAGAAAACACATTTGAGAAAAACTGCCTTGCAATGCAAGGTAAGCCTTTTTTTTTTAAAGTCAAAATGATGTATTCCTTTTCAGTTTGGCAAAGTTCAGACTTCTGATAATGTGATTCTAAACCTGAGATAATCAGTGAATCTTTTATGAGACAAAGATTAATAAATTATCCCACATGATCCTGCTTCTGTTTTTTAGACTATTTTATCTGTCATTTTTATATTTTGGCTTCTGACAAAGAACAAAAAAAGGAATTTAAAAGAAAAATTGGAACAGATTTAGGAGAAAGCCATGTCATTTAAAGAAAAAAATCCAGATTTTCATTATATTTATGTTGATATAAATAAAATGTTAACCTGAGTTAATTAATATTAACAATATACAGATATATTCATCTTAGCATGTGGAGTCAGAGATGAGGCTTTTCCTCTGTGTAAAGCCATTGCACCCTTTCCCCTCACCTTTCCCATCTATAAAGTGGGATCAATAGTCTATCTTTAAGAAACAACAATTTCTGGTTTGCAGAAGAAAATAAATTGAGTCTCTTTTAAATTGCATAGTATAAAGCCCAAAATGTATCTTCAGAAATCCAATAAAGACATAATAGCAGTCCCTTGCATTTAAATGATTTAAATCAAGGCTTAAAACAGGATTTTAAGAAATGCCCATGCTCTTGCGGGAGAGTTGGACTTCTAACCATCTTAAGCACCATAAGAAAATCCCCTCAGAGGGTATAAAAGTGCTTTGAATACTATGTAGGGAAAAAAAGCCACCCAAACGAACCAACCCAAACCCATTTAGCTTATGAAAGGGGAAGTGAACTTTATTGACAAACCATTTTAATCTTTAAAAATATAAACAAAAAGGATCTATTCACTTCCGAGACAGGAGCACAGGGTCTTATTATCTGGAATGAGGTGGGAGGGGGATCTTGAAGACTAAGAAACCAAGGCAATTTTTACAAGTTCTCTACAAGTAGGTGCCAAACCCGATTATCCTCTTGAGAATATTTCTCATGTAGCAGCTGAAAGGGGGAAGCTCAGATAGGGAGGCTGGGGAATTGGATCTGTCTCTACTGGTAACTTCCTCCCGCTCTGTCTTCTTTCTTTGGTAAGGAAAACTATCTCAACCCAGGAAATCAAGAACACATTTATAATTGTTAAAGAGGCTCCGTAATGGGGAGAAGAGCTTCTGACACAAAGGTAGAGAAATATTTTATCTTTCAAAATGTTATTGCGTTTAAATTGCTGTAGACCAAAGAATATACTTGCCAGGCAAGAATAGGAATCATTAAGTCTGTGATCCAAAGTTAGGCGTTGCACCATCTCAAAGAGGGAAGCGTGGTCAAAGTTACAGGGGTTGGAAGAGATAAATTCATCCATGCCATGTTTTTGAGCTCTATCTGCGTCTGTTCATTTATACATGTAGAGAGAGACACAATTTAGAGAAACATCGCATTTTCTTTGACATTTCAAATACACAGGAATTCACTAAGCATTACGAACGCTAGCTGTTTTCCCGTCGCCGCCCACCAACATCCCCAAGATACTCTTTTTACCTCCCATTGTCAACTTGCATCACTTACTGGTGAGTTTATTGCATTTCGGCAAAAATATATTGGCATCAACATGTTTATCAAATGATCACAACTCTAGTGCATTTATGTTGTTCTTGAAAAACTAAGCACACGACCGTAACTTCGCCTGTGTTTCACCAAACACTGAAAGCAGATCGGATCTTTGCTTACAAAAGCCTATTTAGCTTTTTGATTTTTAATAGATTCTGCCATTCCAGTGGTTATGTCTAGAGCAATTTCTCTACAATTACTGGGATCATCTGGAAAAAAAGGGTGATGCTGATTCTCAGCAAAGTGACAATATTAGTATCCTCCCCTTTCAAATCCCCGTGGCCAATTTGGTTGCACAAAAGGTTTGGGTCCCCATCCTCCAAAATTAAAACAAAATAATAACAAAAGATTTCCATTGAAACCTGGAGAATAAGTTCACTGGGAATTTAGTTAGTGATAGCAAAGGATACTGCCTGAGATAGTGTGCTTACTCAGTTAGCAAAGCTTATGAAAGACAAACAAATTTACTCAGCAAGGGCTATGATCTGCCATTTATTGTGAATTAATAGTCTCAATGTATTCACACTTTTCCTTACAGGGTGAAGGCTGCAGGCAAAACCTCCTAAGGGCTAACTAATTAATCTCAATATGTGTAACTAAAATAGTCTATATTCAATCGGCAAAATAACTCAGAGAATTCAACTCAAGCGAGACCAAGCAAATCTTGGAAGAGGAAGGAATGAAGGTCCTAGAAATTAGATCACTCCATCTCATATTTACTCACTCTCCTGAAATGCTGCAGGGAAAAAGAATCTTAAATCAAGCAAGAGTGTATTCATCTCCTTGCGTGCAACATTCTACTCGAATACAGGCACCTGCCAGGGACCAGCAATGCTGTCAGGACATGCAGAGAATGGATTTCTGACTTGAGAAGGTGTTTGAATAATATTTTCAAATGTGGCCTTCATCCCAGGCAGCTTTTTTTTTCCTTCCCTGCTTGGGGGCTGACTGAAAATGGGGTATAGTTACAGTGTAATATTAAGATAATGATTTTCCCTTGTATTATTAATGTTGTGGATCATTCCAATCTAAACACATGGTATGTCAGATGTATGCCTTCTTCCTATTAGCTTTTTAAATCTTCAGTCATCTTTCAGAGAGGGAGCAAGTGGTCAGTGTTTGAACAGGATGTGTTGTTTATGCCCAAGACACACAAAAGCAACAGTTTTCAGAAGGCAAGTCAAAGAATGTGTGTTTTAATAGCCAATTTGCTCCTTTCAGAGGATTTTGGAAGGGCTATCACATGCGCAGGAATTTTATTAGAGAATCTGCCTCTTTGCTGGGTCAACTGCCTGAGATTTGTCTTCAGGAAAGTGCTTTCAATTTGGAGGTTAGGTGCTTAATCTTTGAGTATCTTTTGTCTGGTAATGTGGTCTCCAAGCTGTATTTCTTGTTCGACTCAGGATGGCTGGAAAGAGAGGTGGCCAGGAAGTTAGTTCTGGAGAAAAAGCTAGCTTGTTTCTGCGGGGTGGGGTGGGGGTGTGTGTGTGTGTGTTTCCCGTGGCCCAAGGCAAGTGGTTTGAACCTGCTCCAACTTTAGGTGTCGTCCTGCAAGATGATACTCCTGTAACCCAGGTGGTACCGCTCCATCACCTAGGACAAATCTGCTCTTTTAGCCCCATCGTGTCAGTCCCTGGAGAAACTAACAGTGGGGTACACACCCACTGCTTGTCCTGTTTCATCCTCATAAAAAGCCTCATTCACACTGTGTCTCCCAATTTCTAGCAGATAGATAAGGCGAGTTTTGGCCAGCACCAGCTTCCTGCTCTCAGATTTCCAGAGGAGGCTGCAACTGGTCAGGCCATTCACCTTACCAGCTTGGCTCTGCCATTTTACTGTTCTTCAATTATGATGATGCAAACGGTCACTCAGCTAGAGAGAAGAGGACTCTCTTTCGCGGCTGTTAAAAATATAGCCCGTGTTTCAAGTCTCTCACTCTTTAACTGCTGAGCCTCTAGAAAACTTGGTGATGAACTATTTTGCTTGGCTGCCAGTTCAGGAAATGGATCTGCAAAGAGAGCTTGGCTCCTCCGTGGAGACCCGGGTACAGACCCATCCTCCCGCCTCCCCCCCATCCATCATCACAAGACAGCTTCACCACGCTAATTCTTGGCTTAGACTTCATAGAAAGAACAATTTCATTTTTACTGACAATTTAAAGCAGGCTTTAAAATAGGCTTAAAATCCGCCTGTTTTCCTTTTCTGAAAGTAACCCTGTCAACATAAAGATTCCTGTTTCCCTTCTTCCTCCTTTTGTCTCTTGTCAGTTCACATGGTGAATGAGCCTGGGACTGAGGGAGGAGGTCTGGACCCTTCCATGAGCTCCGGTTTTAAAGAGGTGCGGGATACTGGCAGAGGTGTCGATATGTCTGAGCCTCAGTTTCCTCATGTGTAAAATGAGCCGAACTTTCAGTTCCCTTTCTGCTGTCACTGTCATTTAATCATTCTTAAGGTCCCTTTCACACCTTCCATGTGCGTGGGATGGAATTTAATGCAGTGGGAATTTCCAGCAAGTAGCCGAGCAGCCCCTGGATTTTGCTTACATAAAATCATCGTTTACCCAGAGTTAGGCTCATTGTCTCAGTGGTCCCAACAACTCAAGAATGCTTAACAGGGTGGCTGGCTCCCATGAAATTTCTGAGAGTTTCACTGAGTTTATTACATTCAGGGGGAGGAAAAAAAGATGGAGAATCAGTAGGTGGGGAATGCTATTTTAAGGCGCCCATGGAAGGGATCTGACTTTGAAGCTCCATCCAAACATGGATTTTGACATTTTTGTTCTCTGCTGTGCTCCCAGTAACTACAACAGAACCTGGCACACAGCAGGTACTCAAGACATATGTGTTAAAATAATTAATTTATCAGTATCTCATCAAAATAAATAAATTCACTCGGTCGACAAATATTTTGTATTTCTTGACTTTGGGAAATGTTGACACGTTAAATTCAACAGGAACAATTTATCTGAAGTAGGACAGCAGTTGCTTAGATGGCTGGGCTTAGAGAGTCACAAAGACTGAATGTGAGGCCAGCTCTGCTGTTAGACGGTATGAGACGTGAGGAGGTTGACTAATGTTTCTGAGTCTCATTTTCCCTCACGTGTTAAGTCGAGAAAGGTGTTTGAGTCTACCCTCAGAGGTGGTTGTTGACAGGATCTGGTAAGAAGAATCTGTAAAGCACCTAGGTACCTGGCATATACTAGGTGCTCACCTTAGCTGTGAGTGGACGAGCAGGTTTCTCACCACTCTCAAAGTCAGTTGGTCTAATATTCTCAGAAAGCCAAGGCTGTCTCTACATTGATTACTAATGTTAGTTAGAGGTTGCCTCTTAAACCTTATTGTTTCTAGGAAGCTGAGAGTCCTTCCCAAGCTCTCTGCTTTATGCCTCTCCTCTGGCCCTGTATAATTAATTCCTAATCTCTGTCTCTGTGTTTTTGCTGGGTGATGTTCCAATTTCTCTGTGGTCAGAACACACACTTAAATTCCCTGATAGATAATATGTTTCTTGAGGGTACGTTCCTGATCTGTTATTTTCCCTGCCAGCTCCTGGAGGAGCCAGGTCCTTAGGTATTTATTAACTGACTTACTCTGACACCTCCATCCCAGGAAACTTCCCATCGACTTTATTAAGGAGTCACACACATGGGGATTCAGATGGCATCTTGCAAATCCCAAAGTGGGAACATGTGCTCTTAGGGGGGAAAAAAATCTTATAAAAGGAAACAGAATTCTAGGTGCAGGTGTCTTTGGATACCATTCAGATTGTCTGCCTGTGTCTCCATACATGTCTAGGACCATATGCATTACATATGTTGTCTATTTTAAAATAAAACACTGCAGCGGTCCAGCTGTTCTAAATTCTGTTTCAAAGAACTTGTGGGTGCTTCTCAAGCAACACCATCCAGTCATCCTTGCAATGGCCCAGTCTGTTCTTCCGCAGTGCTGAACATTAAAAACTAAATGCTCTGTGCAATCCCATTTTGCCCTGTACAAACGATTGGAACAGGCTGATGAGAGAAAAAGAAAACTCCAATGTTGACATTAGCAAGGGGAAAACAGCCCAGAGCAAAAGGGTGAGAAAGTCAATTCCTGGATTCAGGACACCTTGGGATCCATTTCTTTGCCAATGTTTGGCATGTGTCAAGGGAATGCAAATGAATTTAAATACTAGGCTGAGCAAAACAGAATTAGGAGGGGAAAGTAGAAGCTTAAAGCTCTAATGAGGTTTGGATTAGCTCTTGCTTTCAGAGACACATACCAATGTTCTTTTTCATTAGTATCTGTGCATTTTTTTTAAACTTTTTTTAAGAAATCAAGGATTGACTGAATTTTAAGAATTTACTTCAATCTTAACCTTTTTCAGACTTGGCTGAATAGTTGCTAACTCTTGCTTGGTTTGCAAGGGCTTAACATGTACTGAAAATGGGCTACGTAATTTCATAGGCTTTGGAGCAAGGGCATAATTCAACACATCTTCCAAACAATGCTACTTGTTTCACTTCTGGGCTTTAAATGTATAAAGATTTTGAAGTCCTCTATAGCATGGGCATAGGAGAATGACTTCACACTGAACTTAGATGAATAATGGTGCCTAAACTACATTTATAAATTTAAGGAACTATCTATCAGTGGGCATCCATGATAAAGGAAAAGGCTGACAGACGCATAGACTTCAGGAAGGCAGGTATCCTTTCAAGTGGAAACTAACTAAAATCTTTACCCCAAGTTTGCTTGAAAACAATTTTGGTGTGGCATTTAAGGAATATTGAGAAAGTCACGGTT